ACTTCATGTTTCCAAAGTGCATAATGGCACCGGTCATTTTGTAGATGCTGTTCTTCTCTTCTTGAGTGAAGCCCAGCACATCAAAGGCATCCTGATCAAACATGACATTTTGATGTTCATTTAGAAACCATTGGTTTGATTTTTAATATTTTTTGCTGCTATAATTCATGGAGGCAGCTCACATCAGTAGCCATCAGCTCTTCAGAGTCATTGATGGAAGCAACTGTTGTCTCTCCTTGGGAGATGAAGGCGTAATCGTAGGGGTTGTTGGTGATGAGCAACATCTCTAGAAATTGAAAAATAATTCCATTATAGAATATTTATAAACTAATGTTATCAAAAAAAGAAAAAAAGACAGAAATCCTTTTGAGTTAAGTTCACCGACTTACCCAGAAGCTCAGGCTTTACTTGAGACAGGATCTGATAGAAAATATGGTAATCCCTCTCAGCTTTGAGCTGGTAGGTGACGCGGGACTTTTCCAGCAGATCTGTTTATGGTGACATATGCTTTCTCAGTTTTTGAAGTCAATAGAGATACAAAATTTGAAATTGATATGACAAAGATTTCTTAAAATTAAGTATATTTTATCTTAATTAAAAGCTTTTTAGATATGAACAATTTTCCCAGTTGTGATTAAATAATAATAGTTGAACATCATTATACTCATAATGGAGAAATTAAATTCTGCAGCTTAACCAATGCCCTTAGGTAGCAGTGGGCTGCCACTGTGCAATGCCTGGGAAGCAATCAGGGGTTAAGGGTCTTGCTCACTGAGCCAGAGTGCAGACTGTGGGGTTAGAACTGGGTACTTGTTTTGGATGGTATTATATTCTTCATGTGTTTTTGCAAGCAACCTTAAGTATTCTGTAACATGTTTAGCAAGGTTTAGGTGTGTTCATTGTTAAATGGGAAAACCTGTAATCCAGCATCCGAAATGTGTCAAATACGTTTGAAGTCAATTTTATCAGGACCACTTTATACATATCCACCAATAGGAGTCTACAGTCAAAATTTTCAATTAGGTGGCATGACTCAATGTATGCAGCATTGTATTGTATGTACCTCCTAGTGTTGCATGTGGATGAGTATGTGCTTACATACTTACATGTTTCAATATCAGCAGAAGCCAGTTTTCCTCTGTTGTCAAAATGAATTCTAATAAATTTACCCTAAAAGGGAGACTCTTATTAACTCTTGTCTCTAATGATCTAATAAGGCAAAAAATAATTAGTTGATCATCGGTAATCAAGAAACTTTACTCTAGTCATACAATTACTTACAAATCTGGAGGAGTTGTCATTCCTGATGGTCTTGGCATTGCCAAAGGCCTCCAGAGCAGGGTTGGCCTGAATGATTTGATCCTCCAGGG